AATGCCACAAATATTTGTCACAATGATAAATGGAGAAAACTCCAATAAAGCCTTCTCCTACCATCGCTTCAATATTTATTTCCCCCTTGTGTGAAATATTATGCTTTTGTGCTATTGCCTGAGGGCCAGAGCAATTTGTAATCTTTGCAAGACCATTTAAATTCAAGCTGTATYAGAAAAATCATGCAAAAGTTTCCATGTTTTGTAATAAAACATMATTTTCCGTTACACATTTTGATATTTTCTATTAAAACAAAGAGCAATTCAGTAACTCAAGGACTTAAACTCATGAAAACCGCTTTAGTCTAGTCACATCCATGATCCTGAACCAATTACAAATGTTGTAGCATTAGTTGTAGCAAGCCAGCCATGCAGAGTATTCCAGTATCACCAATTAAACTCTGAGCTGTTAAGTAAAAAAAAAAATGTCCAGAATAGCTTCCTTTGTGCTCTGCAGGCTAGATTAATGCAAAACAAAACATGTGAATGATGATCCATTTTTATTAAGCATAATGTGAAGGTTATTGAATTTCTACACTGCAGCCTCTGAGTTGTAATTCCATAAACATAAGACATCCTCTACCTTCATCCTGTGAATGTGCAAAGCATAAATCTGCTGCTCTGCTTGCTTGTAATTTGCACAAACTGTACGTACTGCTGTGGTATTCTGATTCCTCAAGGATTCAAATTGTCTTTCATGTAAATACGTGTATGTTGTCTTTTTTTTGTCTCCAGCTTTAACAAATGTGAAGCTTTGGGCCATCGACCGACAATGCTTTCAGACGATCATGATGAGGACGGGGCTCATTAAGCACACGGAGTACATGGAGTTTCTGAAAAGGTGAGGAAGCGCTCTGTATTGTTTCACAATGACAGGCGAAGAGCCTGAACAGGTCTTTGATCTGATATGCAGTGAATGAATTAACAGAATGAATTGAGATTTTATGCTAACTTTTTTTCGCCCCTTGGTTTCTAAGTCGTTCTTTTCACAAGTTAGATAACAACACCTGTCACAGATGGCATCATTCGCCTTTGCATTGAACTTTAATGGTCTTACGTGAATAAGCATGGACAAAGCAATAACCACTTCTTTTTAAAAGAGCATATTATCATTTAAAAAGCAGACACTTTTTTATGCTGCACAGACTATAGGATAAAAGAAAACCGCATCAAAAGACAAAAGTGGGAACTTGCAATTACAGTGTGAATTTTTTTCTTTTTTTTCTCTCTTTTTCTTACCAGCCATGTCTTTTCAACTCATAACGATTTTGGCCTTTAGGCCAATTGCAGAAATTATGTAATACTTTCCTTATGTTACATGCAGCAGCCTACATTTTCTGAACTTCTTAGTTGACTTTGCTTTAACTCAGCAATGATTTCTANAAGCAAAATCAAAGACAAAAAATAGAAATGTTTATTTCACCAGGGTTACCCCTACAATTGCTATGCATGGTAACACATTTAAATGAGCAGATTTGAAATGTTTGTGCTGTTTTATTACTACACTGTAACAGAAAAGATTAATGGGATGGGAAAGATTAAAAAAATCTATAATTAACTGTACACAGGAGCAAATATAAAGACATTACAACATGTTCTTCCAAAAAGAAAGCAGGTTTTTACAGGGATGTTTAATTAACAGGCTTCAAAAGAAACAGACAATGACAAAAAGAACATCACTGTTTTTATTGCTAATTCAATTTTTTTTTCTCTAGCCATTTTGTTCAAGTAAAGCTGATGTTTTCTAACATTTATATCTGATAAATAAACAATTGGGTCATTTTTGCTTAACATGTAAACAAAGTACATTTGGTACATATTTAAAATGATTTAAAAAAAAGATTATACTTTAAGTTCACGTCTCAGTGCTAGTGCCTTTTTACAAAACTGTGTAAACTTTCTTTTTCTTTTCAACTCCACAAGAATTAAGAAAATAAGGTCATCCATCATCGTGGCAAAATAAAACTTCTGTATGTGACAACAGCCTGTGGTTAAAAGGCCAGAGGGGAAACAATTCAATCTCAGAGAAGCAGAACAAACACACACACACACACACACATAAAGTAAAATAAACCTTCTCTGTCCTAATTCCCATGTAACAAAATAGAAATAGTCTGGCAGCGAAAATCTAGTTCAAATACTAAGTTTAGCTTTGCCAACATGCATAAAATAATAATGACAGTAAAAAAAAATCTGATGTATTATCTTTGATGTTTGATTTTATCCACTCAGGGTTTCTTCTTGTGAAAAAAAAAAAGTCATTAAGTTTTAATTTGCGTAATCAGATATTCTGTGTTTTAGGTCACATAATTATTAATGCCAGTGGTAATACATCAATTTAGTTTGTAATTGGCTTTTTTAAAGTCTGCAAACGATTTGTAATTAGTTAGATTGGTCATTTTTTTATAACCTTGGAAAGCTATCATAAAAAGTACAAAAGCTTAAAGTGAACAGGACTTTATCACAACCCTGTTGACCAGAACTTGTGTTTTCAATAATGCACAGCCTCCCTCGGCCAAATACAGAGATAAATAAACAGCTGATGAGGAAGATTCTAGTTTATGATCCAACTGGAGGTACTAAGCTCATATTTCCCACAGATTCATTTTCAGAGGTGCAGCTTTTCTTGAATTTTCCTGGAAAACAAAACCTAAAACATCTTAGTGAAGCTCCTCCGGAACTCCTTATTCTCCCTGTGCTCTGGACAAAATAGGACTTCATATTGAGTTCCCACCGTGGTGCAGAGGTGTTTTTCACACTTTATTAAAAAAATGTCATATCTTACATATTACTTCACTTTACCCTACAAAAATCTGACCCTTGGAGCCAAGGCATTTTTACCCAGCAGTCAAAGTTCTTATCAACACAAGACATAAACGCCAGTGAAAAAAAAATAAAAAAAAGCATTTTACTATCCATGTGGGTGTCAGGGCTCTGAGTTATGTTCTGTCACCTACAGGCTCTTAGTAGGATTATTAAAAGAACCGGTTGCTGGATAGCTTTATTATTATTATTTATTTTTTTATTTAATTTTAAACCAAACCTTAAAAAAATCCCTCGATTTTGACCTGATGGCTGTACAATTCAGAAGAAAATTCAGTTAYGATACTCAGAAAACTGGGATTTACAGCACAAATTTCCAATATGGATAAACAAATTGTTACCCTCACTTTATCGTCCATTTAYCATCTTCAGAATTTATTATTATTTCCTTTTTGGCAGTAATTACAGTAAGGAGATAATTGTGTTAATTAGGTAGTAGTTAAATCACAGTTCTTGTTAAAAGATGTAGTTATATAAAGTACTTAAAAGTAACTAATATACTGATAGTAAACAATAATCTGTTTTAAATAGGAGAAGCAGAGATTAATTCTGACAAGGATCTAATGATGTATCACATTTGCACTCAGAAGTCAGAATATATAACATAATGTAAACATAATTAATGCCCATCCAAGCTGAGTATACCCTGATCAATGTCCAATGCAGAGAAGACACTGACTACTCATATGTACTCGACATGATCTCACTTAAAATACGACATAAAAACGAACATCCAGTTTAAAACCATAACCTTCAGAGAAGATAAGAAATTCCTTTGTCACACAGCTATGTTTACAGCTTCCCTTAAGCAAAAAGTACTTTAGCTCAATATATGTCTTTAGTACTGAGAGGACAGTAATTACTCAGTCAGTTATTAGTTGCAGTCTCAGTCACATCCCACAGTCTGTCATAATTAGAGTGCACTTTGATCATAAAGCTTAACTTTAAGACGGTCAGCATAAACATTTGCTTTTAACTTGTTAATTTTTTATTTGTATGGGTGAGATTTATTTTTTATACATTGGAGCTGGAAAAAAAGTAAAAACATTTGCAGTTTCCTTACTTTTTACCTAAAAAAGTATGGAAGCACACTCCTGCCACAGCTGTTACATAAGAGTCCAGAGAGATAAGTAAATATTTAATAGATGTACTCTGTGTGTTTGGTTTATAAAAGGGTGTCTAGGGGGAAATCAGAGATTAATGGTAGCATTTGTTAATAAGCACATAATTATATTCCCGTTGTGCTCCTCGGAAGAAGATCTAATAAAGAGCTTAGGTTTGAGCGGAGAACAAAGGCCCTCTGCTTCTCGTGAGCCTATCCCCACCCTTTAACTGCTGAGAGATTATATCGTTGCTCTTATAAATAGTGGAGGAGGAACACTCAGGAAAAAAATAAAAAGAAAAGAAAACACACTGATCCCACTGTGTTACAAAGAGCAGTTGAGTATGCTTGTGTAGAACCTATCGCCTCTAGCTAACTTGTATTTCAAACCACTCTAATGCATCGTATCAAAAAGAGTACAGGTAATGTTTACTGGGCGAGCTGCATATTTCTGTTRCTGACACTTTCCGGGCTGGGTGCTCAACTTTCTGCCCACTCCCACTTTGAGCAACAGCTTAGATAAAAGGCATGAAAACAGACAGCCCTGTAGATCTACTAAATTGTATCCATGAGTATATTTTTCCTCTTGATTGTTTTTTTTCTTCAGGCGTTAGCGAGATAATGACATGCCCAATWATTTGCACTAAGTCCTTTAATTATAACTCTGTTAAAATATTTGAAATATTCACAACGATTGCCTTTACAAAACAACCCTTCCCCACTGCCGTTGTATAACTACTTAACAGTTACAGTTAAGCTGTTTGGTCAGACATGTTCAACACCAGAAGCTTTTTGTGTGTGTCGACGGCTTTACAGCTTCGATGTTAGAAACTCTAAATAAATCACGCAAAGCGGGGGTTTCCTGTTAATGGCCCCCAGCTTGTAATCTGGTGGGAGCACAGCACAAGGATTGAGACCCGGGGTTCAGGTCTGGAGGCCGAGACAAGATGCTTCAGATTACTGTAATAAAACATGGAAAATGAGCGAGGAGAGAGAGAGGGAAACTCGGAGGGAGAGATGATCTAGGAAGATAAGCTCTTTGTTCATCAACACGGGTTATTTTCTCTCCGCCCCCCCTCCCTCCTTGATAAACATTAGACCAGTTTTATGTAGTCCACTTGATAACAGGCAGATTACATTTATTCAAGCTGCCTGGAAGCACCGGAACAAACATTACAGCCTCATATTGATGTATTCAATCTTCACATCCAACGCTGTGTGCTTTAAATACACACGTTGCCAGGTTTGTTTTGAATTATTGATACACGCGTACTGTAAGACTGTAATACGTTCTACAGACTCTAAAAAAGTATTTTTTATGTCCCTACTGAATATATTTATGCTGCTCACCTCAGATCACAAGCCAGATTTGTGACTGAGCAGCTGTTTCATAAAAATAAAAAAACATGCAACCATGTGGAAAAGGGAGCAGGATGTGTCTAAATGGAAATGATATTAAAAAAAATTGTTTGAGTGTAAAAATAAAGTACATGTAAGCTGCTAAGAGGCTCGTAGCAATGTGATCAATGGTAAAATTTACAGATAGTTAGTTTTATAAACCATCATATGATGTGCATAAAAAACTGTTACCATTCGGTTGAGTCAGGTTTTTGATGCTTGACTAATTTATAGATTAGTGTTAAGTGGCAAAACAAACACAAAGCAGATCTTTCTGGAAAACACTTTTACAAAGTGATTGTTTGAGATCATTTAAAACATTACAAAGATTGTCTTTTTTAACATTAAAGCGCCTTCTGCTGAAGTGAGAATTAAACTAGAAACTGATATTTTTCAACTAAACCGTCAATATTCATTTCTGTAAAAAAAGTGAGCATCATTCTGAAGAGTTATTCTTCTTTATGTTATTCTAAAATGTCCAGCCTTTGTCTACTGATGAATGGAATTTTTCTCCAATTATCTTTTGAGGAGAAAACTTTCCCAGCTGAGCTCCATTCTGTGCTGTGTTTGATCAGTCACCCTTTGATTGCAGAATTATGTGCTTTGACACAAACAGTTACTGTGGCTCCCTTCACTTTTTCAGGATAAATAATATTTTTAATATTGGAAGACCTTTTTTTTCTTATTTTTTTTATACACCAAGCTGTCTGACCCTGGGCTAAAATTACTTGAAGTCCCAAATATCACGGCGGCTGCTTGAAAACGGTGCTGCTTAGTTTTCCTGACAGTGGAATGATTGATTTCAAATAATCGGAGTCACCATCAGCTCCATTAACTCTATAAGCCTCAGTAAGATCTTTAGCGCCTGCCACACACTTTATTTATACCTTAAAAGAAAGAAATAAAACAGGTTCTGGATGTCAGAAGATAAAATTCATTTGTGTCAGCCTGTCGAGGAGATTCATATCATGAGATCGATTCGTATCTCAAACACAGAAGACTTTGTCAGTCATATCTTAAAACCTTGCAGCACTCTGTTTAAACAGCTTTTTTCCCTCTTTTTCATGCAGTGTCCCCACATTTCAAGGCCTACAGGAGGATATCCTGAGCAAGCTTGCTGATGTCCTCGAGGAGGTATGAACTTTGTGTCCACGTGGCCTTTGCAGCACAGAGCACACACCCCACATTCTCATAGATTCCCAAAAATACTATTTCTGTAGCCGTGGATGACGGCAGTTAGAAGGAGAATAATAAAAATGTTCTAAAAAATTATTGGCTGATGAAAGAAAGTGGAGAATATTTGGATTTCAGGGAAAAAAAAGAACCTTTTCAGTTGTTGGAACAACAAAGCAATTGCTGGGTTTTAGTGTGTGCTGAGTGTGGTGAAGCTGAACTAAATTGCCCACTTTCTAAGAGACAGAAACATTTTCCAAACCTGTTCAGGAATTCAGCAGCCAAAAGCCATTTTAGCTTTTCAACAGTCAAGCTAAAGCTGAGTCACATTGTTATACATTTAATTAAATAACACAGTTTTGTATCAATTTAGACTTAAATGTTAAGAGTAACCTGTTTTTCACTCTATCTCTTCTTAGAGCATGAAACAAAAACAATATATATTTTTTATTCAAATGGTTTCAACTTATAAATAGATTAACCCACTTTAAAACATATTTTAGTGCTTTAATCTATTATTATAAACAACAAATCTTCCATTGTGTAAGAACCACTCTATGAAATTAGGACCAGCCCAATCTCACAAAATAATTCCTCAAGATCTTTGCATTATGAAATCCCAGACAAATGACAAGATACCAACTCTGATCATGAATGAGAAATGAAAACTTGTGACCTGAACGTATTTCCAAAATAAAGTAATTTATTTTTAGATATATGAACAGGATTAAACATACAAACATTTATTAAAAATATTATATGAATAAATGAACACAAGTTATATTTTCGACATATGAATTACACCTCAGAGTTGTCATAAACAGTAAGTTTCAGGTGTTGTAACTTTACTGGCACGCTGCTTAACTAAGTTTTAAGTAAATAGAGAATAGATAGTAAAGATTTATAGCTTAAGGATAGGAGGAAAAGAAATTAGTGAATTTAGCACTTGTTCTCCTAGTCAAGACCAGACCAGCACCCAACATTATGTCAAAGACCAGACACTTCCGAAGCTAGACTTCCTTCGACGTTTTTTCTCAGCTTTTTCTACCTTTAGATGTCTTCAGACAGAACCGAACAGGCAGGTAGAAGGTTTTGAGAGTGTCGGCATCCGAAGTCCGCCAAGATGGATAATGTCCGTCATGACATCAGGGGGTTGAGAAGATTCTGTCTCACCCCTAACGAGCCAGTGGCTCCCGGCGCGGCGCGGTCTCAGTACAGTGCTTCTCGGCAGTTGTCAGGTTAGTGACATTCAGACTTCATCCAGACAGGTGCCCAGATGGACACGCACTTCTCAGAGAGAGACCCAGTCAGAACCATCCTTCCTCCAACGACAGACAAGAACCACTGTTAACTGTGTGAACAGAAAGTTAGTTCTTTTAGAGGAAAAAAGAGTGAGAAGGAAAACAATCTGTTTTTCTCACACTGGCGCGGCCAGCTGGTGTTGTTATCAGCAAAAAAGACCTTGGAAGTCTGAATAGACAGACTTAACATGCTGTCTTAAAAATCACTTCACTAAGGTTATACATCACATCCACTATTAATAGTAAAATTAATAGTACACAATTATTAATCACTAAACCAATTAAGAAAAATGATAAAACCATGATTAATAAACCAGTACTAAGAAAAAACAGTAAAACACATTTCAACTCTTTTTTTCACAGTGTTAAACTCTGGAATAAAGAGATGCAAAGATTAATTCAATAAAACTTTGAGTAATGATATATTGATTATAACCTCTAATAGAAGATTAAATGAAATAAAACATATAGAACATATTGTTCCATTCACTTAAAGAAAATAGAAACAAACTTTAAAATGACTTTCTTCTTATAAGTGTAAAAGCAAAATCAAAGACAAAAAATAGAAATGTTTATTTCACCAGGGTTACCCCTACAATTGCTATGCATGGTAACRCATTTAAATGAGCAGATTTGAAATGTTTGTGCTGTTTTATTACTACACTGTAACAGAAAAGATTAATGGGATGGGAAAGATTAAAAAAATCTATAATTAACTGTACACAGGAGCAAATATAAAGACATTACAACATGTTCTTCCAAAAAGAAAGCAGGTTTTTACAGGGATGTTTAATTAACAGGCTTCAAAAGAAACAGACAATGACAAAAAGAACATCACTGTTTTTATTGCTAATTCAATTTTTTTTTCTCTAGCCATTTTGTTCAAGTAAAGCTGATGTTTTCTAACATTTATATCTGATAAATAAACAATTGGGTCATTTTTGCTTAACATGTAAACAAAGTACATTTGGTACATATTTAAAATGATTTAAAAAAAAGATTATACTTTAAGTTCACGTCTCAGTGCTAGTGCCTTTTTACAAAACTGTGTAAACTTTCTTTTTCTTTTCAACTCCACAAGAATTAAGAAAATAAGGTCATCCATCATCGTGGCAAAATAAAACTTCTGTATGTGACAACAGCCTGTGGTTAAAAGGCCAGAGGGGAAACAATTCAATCTCAGAGAAGCAGAACAAACACACACACACACACACACATAAAGTAAAATAAACCTTCTCTGTCCTAATTCCCATGTAACAAAATAGAAATAGTCTGGCAGCGAAAATCTAGTTCAAATACTAAGTTTAGCTTTGCCAACATGCATAAAATAATAATGACAGTAAAAAAAAATCTGATGTATTATCTTTGATGTTTGATTTTATCCACTCAGGGTTTCTTCTTGTGAAAAAAAAAAAGTCATTAAGTTTTAATTTGCGTAATCAGATATTCTGTGTTTTAGGTCACATAATTATTAATGCCAGTGGTAATACATCAATTTAGTTTGTAATTGGCTTTTTTAAAGTCTGCAAACGATTTGTAATTAGTTAGATTGGTCATTTTTTTATAACCTTGGAAAGCTATCATAAAAAGTACAAAAGCTTAAAGTGAACAGGACTTTATCACAACCCTGTTGACCAGAACTTGTGTTTTCAATAATGCACAGCCTCCCTCGGCCAAATACAGAGATAAATAAACAGCTGATGAGGAAGATTCTAGTTTATGATCCAACTGGAGGTACTAAGCTCATATTTCCCACAGATTCATTTTCAGAGGTGCAGCTTTTCTTGAATTTTCCTGGAAAACAAAACCTAAAACATCTTAGTGAAGCTCCTCCGGAACTCCTTATTCTCCCTGTGCTCTGGACAAAATAGGACTTCATATTGAGTTCCCACCGTGGTGCAGAGGTGTTTTTCACACTTTATTAAAAAAATGTCATATCTTACATATTACTTCACTTTACCCTACAAAAATCTGACCCTTGGAGCCAAGGCATTTTTACCCAGCAGTCAAAGTTCTTATCAACACAAGACATAAACGCCAGTGAAAAAAAAATAAAAAAAAGCATTTTACTATCCATGTGGGTGTCAGGGCTCTGAGTTATGTTCTGTCACCTACAGGCTCTTAGTAGGATTATTAAAAGAACCGGTTGCTGGATAGCTTTATTATTATTTTTTTTACATTTGGATCAGAGCTGTGATTTATAACTACAGATGCAGCACCATTCTCTTATGTTTCTTCATAGTCAAGGTTGAAAAGTTTATTGAAGCGAGCAACAAAACGCCTCGCCATTCCATGGTTTCAAACTAAGTGATTTAAAGGTTTAATACTAGTGATGTATGCCGAGACACATATTTTAAGCTTTATTTCTTTCTAACAGAGCTATCAAGATGAGAAATGTGACCAAACAAATATAAGCTGAGCCTGAAAACTGCCGCTCTCTCTTCTCTGGTCTTCACTTGTGTTTTCTCCTTTTGTGACAGACACATTATGAAGCTGGAGAGTACATCATCAGACAGGGGGCCAGAGGAGACACCTTCTTCATTATCAGTAAGGGGAAGGTGAGGACAGACCCGCCAGGCCATACACCCCCGAATCGTCCTCATCACAAGRCAGGGCATTGTGGCACACGCACACACAGCAAATGATGCCAATCTGTGATGCAAAGGGGTGGAATTATTTTTATTTTATTTTTTTTTTTGATGAAAGTTTGCTGTCATCAGTCACCCCGAGATAGACTGACAGGCAAAAGTGCTGCCTCTTTTATCATCCCTTTKAGCAGCAATGGGAGCATCTAGAAAGGGGAAGGGAGTCACTTTGATTTCCTCTTTCAGTAATCAACACTGGCTTTCACACTGAGCACAGTTCCAATGCTTTTGTGTGTGTGTGTGTGTGTGGGGGGGGCTTTTGCATGCTAGTATTGTGATGCCTGACAGCTTCCTCTTCATTTGTTTTGCACTGATTACACTTAGGTTCAATACTTTTCTTTTTGTCCACGTTCRTTTCCCAACCAGTACCTGTTTTTTGTTCTCCACCTTCTTGCTGCATTTGTCAGCATCACGGTCCCTTGAGCCATTAATATGTATAAGTTGCATAATGATTTACAACGGAACTGTAAAATGTAAAGACACAAAATTTTTCTTGTTATTTTTTTAGCTCTTTGATGCAAAACAGACACAATGCAAATCATCACGCAGTGCACTGATCACAAATTCACTGATGGATATCTGTGTGCAGGCGCACAAATCAACTCCCGTTTTCGCCGAGTTTTTCTGCTTTCAGTGTTCAGTTAAGTTCCCATCATCTGCCTGCCTCGCTAAGCCTTAACKCCCCTCTTGCAATGCTCCTTGATTTGTCAGGTCAATGTGACCAGGGAAGACTTGCCCAATGGAGAGCCCGTCTACCTGCGCAGCCTCGGAAAAGGAGACTGGTTTGGAGAGAAAGCATTACAAGGGTAAGATTGAGCCTATAATAACCATTTCTCCTTCAATTTAAATCCAGTGTTTTTCTCATTTTTAGTGCCGATTTTCACTCTTTTGCACATCTTTTGTCTTAGCACCTGAATTCACTAATCTTTCTTCCTGTAAACAAATTACAGAGCATCCTTTTACTGTCCTTAGCTAACCTCAATCACCTGTCATGTCTACAAAGTGACAAGCTTGTAGTCGTTCAGTCTAGGGATGGATGGATTCTTTGGGACCAGAATAATGGACCGTTTATAAAACAGAATGGGACATCACACAGCATCAAAGATCTGTTAGCGATCTGTATGAAGACTGGAGCCAGCTGGTCTGCAAAGTCTTAAAGACAGGAGGGGTAGTCTCCATCTGGGCTAAGGGYTTTCCTGATTTTTGTCATTTGTTTTTATGTATTGATTTATTTTTCCTTCAATGTCATGATTTTTAAACAGTATTGGTTGCATCAGAGGTTTGATGGAGTCTCCAATTGCTGGTTTGGAGAGAATGGGGGTTGTTAAAGTATGACCATGTGTCTTATAGCTGTATCAATATACAGTTATTAGAGTCCATGCAGTRACATCAAGACTGTTTAATCTGCCATGATGGATGGCAGATGGAATTGCTTATTACTTCGTCCATTTAGCATGGTTTATGAAAAAAGTGGATATGCAGGTRTTATTAATATTCTGTATTGTTCTATAATGTATTTATCATTACTCTGGTTTTGCTTGATCCATCAATACAATATAAATATTGATGTATAGCCGGAATTTACACATTTTGAAACAGATTACTGGAGAGAAAATCTTTCCCACTRGAGTGATTTAAATTGGTCACATAACTAGGACATGCACTCCAGGGATTAATCGTCATTTTAATCATTATTGGCTAAATACCACARTTAATYGTGATTAATTTGCTGCCATTATCGCCCAACCCTAGGTGCAGTTAATGCAGACATGTTGACATTCTCAGTTTTTATTTTTTTCTGGTTCTGAGTATGAAACAAGTTTGAGTTCTAAAAGTTTGAGTCCAGGCTACGAGTCATTGGCAGATGTGCCAGACACTTCTAAGTGGATCTTGTTGTCAAACCTCGTTGAGCAGGATGTTGGGCACAATGCCGGGCCCAGACTGGAGCCTGGTTCGGGCWACAGAATGACCCGCAGATGGGGGACTGAGAGACACATTACCCTGGTGATGGGAGAGTGCATCCCTGATGGGAGTCTACAGGATAGACAGACTCAAAATAATGCCAGAAACCATGTTTTTATTAATGTTACCTATAAAATGTTAACCATGCTTTCAGAGCAGAACCCTGTCAGAACCATTCTAAGGACCCCACTGATGCTGTTAAAAACATAAAAAAAACACTTATTCAAACTTATTCAAGTTCCACAAATGTAACTACAACTGAACAGTCTTGAACTTAGTCTTTTTGTGTTTTTTTTTCTTATGACAGCGAATAGAGATTTATAACAAGTTCACCAAGAATTGTCTTTTTTATGCTTCGTTATAAGAATACAATCAATAAAAACTCAAATAACAGTCTCGTAGCATTACCTCTGTAATACCGAGGAAACTGAATCCGCTCAAAAAATATGTCAAAGTTGATGAAAGAACTGAGTGTTTCAGTAAGAAAGTGTTTCACTCTGCTGATCAAAGCTTATTTTTTTATTTCCTCTCATGGGAAACATCTTAAAAAATGTCACAGAAGTAGAAATGTCTTTTTCAGTCACAGCTTTTTTATTTATTTATTTTTGCTTTCCGCTGTTTGTTAACGCAGGTTTTGATCAAACTGATTWTGTAAGCAACGCCTAATCTATTTATATACCACATATTTCTATACATGCTATTTTTCATTTAGTCTTTTTCAGCAAAGATATAAAATAAGGCTAAGTATAGCATATATGTGTGACACTAGACTTACCACTTTTTTACTGAGGTTTGAAGATTACAGTGCTCTCTGCTGAGGACCCTGATTCCTGTTTCTTCTCGCTTCCTTTCTTGGTTGCAGGAGACTCCTAACAGCGTAGCCGTCATCATGCTGTCCTCGAATGTTACTCTGAATTTTCACAATCGTCTTTATGTTTTCTATAAACATTTGTATGAAACGTGTCAGCTTAACTGCCGCTAACAAACTACAGCAGCTTGTGCCTGCGGAGACATACGCAGACAGAACCCAAGATTTCCCAACACCGCACACATCTGTGTCAACAAAATCTTTTCCAACCCTGAAGACGCTTGAATTTATGTCTTGTAGGATCACATTATTCTAATTTATTGTCAACATGTGGCACCGTGTAAACAGTCAAGCACTTTAAGAACAACTCTAGTGAAAAATACTTTGTAAGGCTTCTGACACTGAAGACCATTAACCTTAAGTCATATTTTTATGCTGCAGTATTGTTATGGCTCTGCTCTCGAAATACAATGTGATGTTTAAACAACAAAAAAAATGTAGTGGTGGATAATAGGCTTGAATTGCATTATATTTGAGAAGAGGCATGGAGGCAAAGAGAATATGTTCTCATGGACATTCAGTACAGCAACAAAGAAATAAATGGGGATGTTGCCATCTTGTGGCTGGTGAATGTTAAAGTTTGCATCAAACCAAGTCTCTGTCTCTTTTAGACACAACAAAAACTTAGTCACAACTTAAGCAGCAATCRTGTGTGAAATAAATCCAAGCTTATGTGCTGCAAACACACAATCATGTTTGGTTTCTCCAGGAATACTGGAGCTGTAATGAGCACACAAACAGCTGCAGCTGTACAGATGGCTCGGCTTTCCCCATATGTTAAAGCTAATGACTTTAGGATATAAAAAGTGACGGATCATTAAAATGCATGTGGGACAAGTGAGGATGTGGAAGCTTTTTTTCTGATGGCAGGGAAGAGCATGTTGTTAAATGGAAAGGTGACCTTTCTACTTTAATGAGGAAGGACGAGCGTGATTGTATAGTTGACCACAGGTGATTAGAGTGAATAGAGTACCAACAAGGTAGTGAATAAAAAAAGTCTTTGATTACCAAAATTGAAAAAAAAAATGGAAAAAGGAATATGATTATGGTGGGAACTTCAAAGACAGAAAAGCATCATGTTGCCCCTCATAGCCACAGTGGTAATAAACTTTGATGTTTTATGTTTAACTTTGTCTAAACACAAAACATTGTGTTCCTTGTCTCATTGCTATGGCTGAGCACTGCTAACAAACAATAACACAGCTCTACGTGGTATTTCTTGCATGGGAACAGAGTTTTAACACGTCCTCTTATAAACACTGAAAAGTACCATGTGTACGACTGACTAAATGCGAAATAAATGACAGAAATACTATTGAAATTAAAAGTAAGAGGGTTTCACTCGCCGTTTCGGTGAGTTCCTGCCATTTTGAATTCTGAACTCTCCCACTTTCCAACATGGATTTCCCAGTGAAGGGGTGTTCCCATTTAAACTTACCGCTTGTAAGTGGGAAATTCTCACTTCCCAGTACAACCCCATGCACCTCCACCTAAATGCCATCATTTTGCAAGTAAAATACTCAACATGCATTGTGGGAGATGTAGTTTATGAGCAATGCTGGCTTTAAAGCAACATACGYCTATTTCAAAACAGTAATGCTGCGTTCCAGTTGTAGCGGAACTCGAGATTCTAAAGCCAGACTTATGTCAGTTCTAAGCTGAAAACGTTACAGTTTCAAACTTGTCAGAATGTCAGAGAAATTGTTTCTGGTTTTATTTTTGCTCTGTAACAATAACACTTACAATAGTGCTCTATGAGGCGTTTTGAGTGTACAATCAGCCTTACATCTCCTTATAATCACYATAAAGTACAACATCAGGGGGTGTTMCAGTTGAAAATTACAACTCAGAAGTGGGAAACTACAACTTCGAAGGACAACTGGAACGCAGCATAATACATCTTTGAAGCTCCCGTAGGCCACGTAAAACAACGTGCCACATTCGGCCCACAGGCCTTGAGTTTGACACGTTACATACAGTATTACTGGAGCAACCCAGCACTTTTTTATTTTCATTTTTTACCAAACAAAGCTTTCCTTCCCCAGTGCTTTACTAACTCAAGGAAGACTTTACATAAATACATGTGATACCACAAATATGCTTAATTCATTTGATCATTTTAACACTTTTGTGTGTTTCCCAACAAACACATGAAAAGATGATTTGAAGCCATTTAAAAATCCTCAAAGAAATAATCTGATGCTTCGCTTAATCAAGAAAACCATTCCTTTTTTTGTGCAACAAGTGTGCTTCCCACCCTAGGTGCTACTTGATATTGTTACTGTCATAAACGTTCTTTGTCTTGAAGTGCCATGAGATTATTCAGCTGCACCTTTGATAGTCAAAGCGTGTCTTAGAAATTGAAATGCTGGTGATCCTGGCTGTCTTCGCACCGCGGGCTTTTGATCAGATGGCTCTTCTGCAGGGTCGTCTTTCTAATTAGGAGTTATCTGTGTGTGTTCTTGCTCATGAAACTCAATAGCCCCTCTCCTCCTAGTAGTCTCCCCTGTCCATCTGAAGACRTTGGCTTTGATCTGGGAAAACAACTTATTTACAAATCAAAGTCTTGTCCCCCCCTCCACACACACACAAACACACACTCCGATCTGCTTGCTGATGTTTGTGTGACTGGTGAAGCAGTCGAAGAAATATCAGGTTACATGTTTTCTCTTGAGACTGAATATGTACATCCCTCTATGAATACACATGTACCACATTCCATGTTCTAGGAAACGATGTATGAGTGATCTGTTGTTTGTTCTAGCAGCACATATGATGTTGCATTCTTCCTGTAATAGCGAAGAGAACTTTCACTTTGTCGTTTGTGTAAACAGAGCATGGTTTGACTTTTTTTCCCCTGAGTGAATATGGAATCTGTACATTTGTGGTGACATCACTGTCGACGATAAACTGTAATGTTGTGATGTCACTGACTGGAATGTGATAGGTGTCAATTCCTTCAGACTAACAATAGCACTCTGAATAATGTTCCCACGTTTAATGTTTGTATGTTGCCTAGTGATGAACCAATGACTGATTCTTAACTTCAGTTTGATCAACATATTGATTCTGATTCACCGATTCAATCATTCACTGATAAATAGGTCATTGATAAAGTCATGATCAAAATCTACCTATTCTGTTTGTCTTTTTGACCAACTCAGATATGTGACGAATCAGTGGCACACATCATCGTTGGGGTGATGTGTACCTCAAGATTATTTTAAAACCTTCAGGATCATCACCTTTTGTTTTCTGAAACCGAAAGTCACAAATGGGTACCGGTAGTTGATCTAACAAAACAAACAAACAAACAAACAAACAAAAAACAAAAAAACAAAAATGCAGTTGTGTCAAAAACAACAGAGTCGTACCTTATTTCAGAATATTCTTGATCGATTGCATTTCGGCTGGATCGTTTGAAAAAAAAAATCCTTAATGCTCTGTTCATAAACATGGAAAATTATTGATTAAGACCATAAAACCTCAAAGATAGCTGTAACAAATCTAAGATGAGGAGCCATTTATATAAAATGTCTTAATGGACTTCCTTCAATTACCCATTACAATTAAAATGGCTCTATCCATAATATGTTATTGCAGTGAAATGCAGCTAACAATGGTAAACATAAGGATTTACTGTATATGTAGGTAAATAAGCCATCTTTTGAACAGTCTTTGGTTCAWCTTGTGAACTTTTTATTAATGTTTCTCATAGAGCTTTGTTGTTGCATGAGTGGTAATGTCTTTTTGTACTCTGGTTCCAAAGTTCTTTTTAATAGTGTAAAGTGAAGCTACTCAAAATGTGAAGTGTTGAGCTGATTGGCCACTTTACTTGCTGCAGTTTAGTGTTATGTGAGTAGACAGTGAACAGTCGTTGCTCCTTTCCAAGAAATGGTCCAGCTTATTGATATTTTTTGGTCGTATTGAAGTGATTTTATGGTGATTTCAGAGTTATGGCTTCAGCCCATTTTTAGATAGCTGGCATAATTTGATGTGCCTTTATCTTGTCACTGACTCTTATTTTAATGGCATGTGGAAGCCACTAATGGATGGCATGGCATGGTGCTGTAAAAGCTTAGCCGGAGTCAACTTGTTTGCAGAGCGGCTCTGCAGGAAATATTTTTGCTGGACCCTTCCAGTATGGTTTATTCTGCAGCACCAAACAATGTGGAGCCTAATGGCCTGAGCACAGCTGTAAGGAATGATCTCATTCCTTTTGCTCCAAGCTTTCCTTTATTATTCACCTGGAGGCACAGCTTTAGCTTGTGTCTTTTACCACTAACCAGCCCTGGTTAATGTCCCTTTGTTTAATTTATATTCTTCAAAAGCATACTGTATCTAAACACATCGCCTCTCTTACATACCACCACWATGTTAAAACTAACAAGTATCTGAATCTTTTAGACGACATGAATAATATGCTTTAAAACTAAACCCAGAGCTACTTAATTTAAAAAAAAAACAGCACATTTTTTGTGGCACAAAGCAGTTGTAATCAGGAAGTGTGCCATCAGTTTCCCACGGGTTAAAGGCTTTATTTTGGATGTTGGAATACGATGAAGGATGGCAGAGCTGGAACACAGCTAAACACTGAGTGTTGATTGTAACCAGAGCCTCAAGCTAAAAAAAAAAMCCCTCAACATACATAAAATAAAATAAAATAAAATAAGCATCAGTGTGAGACATATGAATCTATCTTCAACTCTACATCCAGGATATTTGAAAAAGAAACTGTTCAAAATAACATTTTATTTTCTCTTTATTTTTAACAAGAAAATGTAACCTGTATTTTGGAGGGGCTAAGGTAGCTCAGTCATCAGTGCTGAGGTCTCATAATCCTGTGGCTGCAGGTTTCAGCCCAGGTTGCATCAAGAAAGACATCTGGTGTAAATAAGAAACAACAAAAACGTATTTTGGACAATTTAATTAAACTRTCTGGGGAAACTCGTAATTAAGAATAAAATGAACAACGTTCTCAACATTGGGAAACCAGTGAGTCTGATTTTTGCCTCAGTTTTGCCCCTTGGTTAAATGTCCCCTCCTGCCTGCTGTCCTATTTCCTAGCATACACTATTTGMATAACCCTTTTCACAGGACACCAGATCATTGTCCAATTATCGTGCTCATTGCAGCCATCTACTGAAAATCAACCCCACGAGCTTCTGTGTTCAGTCTAAAGGACATTCCTGCTAYGGCGTGCAGCTGCTCTTAGTGTGAAAGGCTTGTGCAAGTGCGTTTGTCAGCTTTCCAATGCATTTCATCTTGCGCYGCAATTAACAAGTGCATGACTTGGGCTCAGTAGTGTACGAATGAATCGCACTGACAGTTACTGTTTTGGGGTTGTGTTTCGCAGATGACATTGCCCGTATCCGCGCCATGGCAATCCAGAGTTGTTTCTCTCAGCCACAGTTGAGCAGCGGGGGACAGGTGTGGAAAAACCTTGCAGTAATACGAACCTCTTAAGATCTCTTCAGTCTTGCATAAACACTAGAATAGAATAGAATAGAATAGAATAGAATAGAATAGAATAGAATAGAATAGAATAGAATAGAAATAGCCTTTATTGTCCCACAGAGGAGAAATTCAGGTGTCACAGCAGCATCCGTATCTATTGCATAGTACTATTTCAAGACAATGGTGTTGTTTTTTCGTTTCTCCGTGTTTAGTGGGTGGCATTGCGCTATACACTTCCTTTTCTCACGTAAATGAATTTGCGTTAGCGAGCTGCAGGCGGTACGGCTCTTTAATGCCAATATACAATGATGTTGTTGTGTGATAAGTGGCTTTTTTATTTAGAGCTACTGTTTGCTATAGTTAGTAAATCCTTGCAATATTCTCAAACATCCAGGCTGTTTTATATTTTAAACTGCTCACAAATATGAGTATTTAAGACCRTGCAAGGCATTGTTTTCCACAGTGTTCTGTTCACAGCGTGGATGCAGGTCACAGAGGCTTATCAGAGGTGAATTTATTACTGTGCGCACCACGCTAGCTGGGGGGGGCTTTAGTGTTCATCGGCTGAAATATCTCTTACCCCCTGACAAAGGCTGCCAACCTCCGCTCCGCTCTCTCCTCCATGGTGGTCCTCAGATTTCAAAATTTGTTTCTCGCACCAGCTGTGACCTTTTATTCATCGGGGTCAGCAGAAGGAGTGAGAGCGGGCGTGTGTGTATTTGTGAGTGAAAGAGGAAGTGTGTGTGTTTGTTGGGGTGGGGGTTCGTTTGTGCGTTGGACGAGGGCAGGCAGTGGGAATTGATATGACATGAGGAGGAATTGTCACCTCAGTTCATTGAAATAGATCGTGATGTGTCTGTGAGTTGGGCGCAGACACGGGCAGTGATTGTCAGTAACTGGTAGCACTTCACTTGAATTGAATTTACTCGTACTGAATCAAGAACAAAATCTGTTTTAGCGTTTTATTCGCTGTCTGTTGGGAGATTTAATCCAACTAATGACCTGGACTTTTATTTTTTCCATTTTTTGAAACGATGGGTCACAATACATTCTGCGCGTGGGACAATCGGTGAAGAACTCTCTGTTTTTGCTTTCTATTAGTTACATTAACAGTTGGACTGGAGATTAATACCAAAGCACTACAGAGGAGCCTTTTGTTGAAGGGCTGCTCGTCTGCATTAAAGTTAAAACCAAAGGCCCGTGGGACTCCATGTGCTGATCATTTTTCACAGTGAAAGATGGATTCTGGGGCGACGGACTCCGAAGATTCATGCGACTGGGGCGACTCCTCTGAAGAGGGGACCTCATCAGAGGAAGATGAACCTGATGTCAAATATAATAAAGAGTAATGCCAGTCTTCCAGGGATGTGTGTTGACTGTTGAGAAATAACGCTTTCATTGGGTGCCAGTTCAGCTTAGAGTGACAGGAGTTGAATTAGACAAGAAGTTTTTAACTGTGTCCATCATTGCGGCTTTAATGAAGCATTTAAAGTGATTAAGAATGTGAATCATTATTAGTCTTGCTGCGGTGGGTCATCTGGACGCTCGGCTCAGCCAACTCATTTTTGCTGTTTTATATTCGTTTTCTCCAGGGAGGACGTCAGGACCGCCAGCGTCATCGCAGCAGAGGCAGTCACCTGTCTAGTCATCGATCGAGAGTAAGTTYTATGGAACTTTATGTCTTGTTTTGTGTAAAACTGTAAAACAAGGCAAAAATTCTAATACCATTGTTCTAATGGTCGTTGTCTTAAAGGTTTTTAACCTCTACAAATAACCCCAACACACTCTTGTGTTTTCAATTTCCAGATCACCGAATGCATCAAGGTTATTTAAATTTAAATACATTCAATGACAGACAATAACTATAAATCATAATTGAATAAAATGCTTTACTTTAATACAAAATGAAAACTTAATGTAAAAGCATTAGAACCACATTTAATTGCCATTGTTGCCACTTTTAACTATTTCCTTCCGTGTTAAATCTGCATTTGTTACTTATTAAGTAAGTAAATTATATTTTGGCTACAAATGTTTCAACTCAAACTTCAAGCTTGTTTATAAGAGCTCTTCACCTAAAATCTACAGATTGATTCAGCCTCTTTATTCAGGACGTATGCAGTTGTCCAACAATGATTTTTAAGAGAAGAGACATAAAATAGGTTTTTGATTAACAATAAAAAAAGTGGAAAAAGCCAAATGTAAAATTTATTTTAAACCAAACCAGTTGTGAATTTAAAAGACACTCGATTTGTCTTAGAGTTACTGCGAAAGCATTTTTACAACAGGATCAAAGAGTGTGGCCATAATTTCAGCTATATAATGTTCTTTATAGTTTGACAGATCACATTTTCTAAAGTTATTTTTTTAACTGGTTCCCAGTTTCCAAAGTTGAAKGCTTATTATATAGGAAGACTGTGTATTTTTAAAAAGCAACTTTAAGATGGGTTTACCATTTAAGGAAATTATTTTTCTGCCTCAAGTCTCAAAGGAGACTCTTCTTGCTTGTGTTTTGGTGAAAATACATTAATAATAATAATAATAATAATAATAATAATAATAATAATAATAATAATAATAATACACTCATACAATTGCTTCCTTTTTAACTTGATGAAACGTCACTGTATAGGGGATTTGGTTTTAAGGACTTTTTTCCTCAGACGTCCTCCTAAATGTTGAAAAGCAGTGAAAAACTCAAATGGTCTTTTATTTAAAATGCAATATAAAACTGCAAAGTAGGGCAATGTTACGCTACTATGGTTGTGCCTCTTTACAGSTTATAGAGGTCAGCCAGTGGCTGAAAATGAAGAAAGAGAAGCTGGAGAACTACTCTGAGCTGGATCTATGACTTCATAGTTTTTATAAATTTGTATAGATCATTACATGAGATACTTTTAGACACAGGCAGCTCAGAGCAAAGTGACACAGTTCTTTTATAACTACTGTTTTACATTGCAACTGACTTCAAATACTGGAATAAAAGTGTTTTTTAACTCAAAGAAGTGTTTCTCAACCATATCCCATTTCAATTCAAAATTGAAGTGCAAATTTTAACTAAAGTCATCTTAGGGCAATAAATAAAAATAAATAAATGGGTAATAAGATCCTATTTAAATCTAAGATTGTTTGAATTAAAATAAAAAAGCAGACTGATCAGTGTAATTAGTGATATCTTACCCTGATATCTTATTGGCCTCAGAAAACAAACACATCCTCAGAGTTAGAGGCATCACTATCACAAAGACTTCTAATATAGTCACAAAGCTTGTCCAAAACGTTTCATCCTTCTAGACCAGTTTTGGTTTGGAATATTTTAAATAATATATTATTGCATTCCTAAATTTTCTTGTGCTTCAAAACGATATACGGCAGCATGASTTGTAGATGAGACCAACAACAAGAGCCGTGGGAAAGCGAGTTGTAATGAAAACAAGCGACGGGGAGTCATCAACACTGTGAGCAGCCAAACATATTAAAAAACAGAAAGCTGCGCTCAGAAAACAGGCGTCACGCTCTCAACAGGAGAGAACTCCAGATGTTTCACGTCTTGCTGCTGACAGCTCGACGAGCCGCACATGAAAACTGTCTCGGCTCGTTTCTCTTGTTTGGTAGCTCCTGATAAAACTTCTGAGAGGAATGAGTGGTGTAATAGAGATATCAAAATGAATGCGTGTTCCAGTGTTTTACCACAGATGCAATTGTGTGGGATCTTTTGTTTTTGCTCCTTTCTCATCATTATGCCGTTAGCATCTCACAAGAATGTTTTTATCGACTTTCATTTCTCTGTAGTTGCACCAATAATATTAAAGACGATTCATTGCAGTTTTGTAATAAAGACATAAACAAACACATTGTTGTCATGTTTCCTCTGGTTATATAACATAATTGATTTGACTAAGTACTGAAAAGATACAAAACTGCCGGAGGAATTTTATGCCTAATTATAATTTGCATAAAATCCATTCATTTTCTTATCACTCACCTCCGTGTGTTTTTATTTTATAATTTATTCTGTTAAAAAAATAATGCACTCTTTTTTTTRTTCCCAAACTTCCCACTCACCCTCCATCTGCTGTCACAGTGGTTTTCACCTTTTTGCCACAGCTCAGTCTTCTCTTCTATGATTTTTTTTCTGTTTGAGGCTTGTCTCTAAAAGCAGGTTGATGAATATTTAATAGTTACGAGCAGTGTTTTTATGGCCTCCTGGTCGTGCACTGTGCTCAAATCGCCCGCGGTGTACAAGCTGCATGATTTCCTACAACCAAAAAGCAATTAAYTCATAACACGGAGGACAAGAAAATKGTTTTATTGCTTTAGCCTGAAAAGAAAACGGCCTTTCTGGACAAAATACGGAAATGTTTAACTCATTTGTCATTTATCTTTGTTGTTTCAGCTCATTCAAGCACTTGATTGGAGGTTTGGAGGATGTGTCCAGTAAAGGCCATGAAGACGCTGATGCCAAAGCTAAGTAAGTCAAACAAGATTTAAACACCTACCGGTAAGAACGTTTTGTGCACTGAAGGGCTTTAAAATCTCTTGTCATCATGCTTAATGCCATTAGGAATGTTACATAATAACATTTCAGGCTTAAAGGGAACATAGTAGGCAAAATCCACGTTCTATATGACGTTTTCTGAATTATTGTGCCCCAGACTTTCAGACAGAATTTCTAAATAAGGTCTAGACAGAAAGTTTTCTGTTGTTGACCTGTTTTAATGAACTTGTAATAGTTTTATGTTGAGCAACGAGGGAGTTGCAGCTGTTTTGGTCAAACCTTGAACAGAACTTTAATCATAATCTCATGCAATAATCACCTGATGTCACACTCATACTCATTTGTTGTGAATGGCTTTCGGTTACTACCACAACAAACTTTAGTGCTGCTGTATGTTTTTTAACATTTGCTGAGTTATAGCCATTTTTGTGTTGGCTAATGTGGGTTAGCTGTAGCGGCCATCTTGAATTAAACTGATTTGTAGAGGCAGATCAGGTGATTCCTTTTTGGAAGTTTACTTTAAACCCACCCTGTGGTTCATGACGATCAGAGTCAACTCCACATAGTTGATGAGAAAATTTTAGCCAATATTCAACGTTTTGCTTGATATAATTTTAGAATTGACTGCGGTATAGTCAGTCATTGTTTTGTGTTTTTGAAGGCTAACTGGCTCTGACAGCCATCTTGAATTGGACTGACTCCAATGTTCATCTAGYAAATATTTCTGCAAGTTTTATTACATTTTCTTTAGTTGTTCCTGATATATTTTCCAGACAAACATTGTGTAACAAACTAGATAGTGGAAATGATTTCTGGAGAAATTAAGCAGTAATGATACTCAGTCTCAATATTACTAGTTGTTAACACCATGGAAGCACTAAAAAAAGCACATAGAAGGCACATTTACTTTGGTATTTGAAGGAATCCTCTTGGGGTTAATTTAGGCATCTAATGACAGAGTTTCATTCAATTTGCACTTTGTCACGGTTCAAAGTGAGAACCAATGATCCAAAGGAGAGATCAAGATGTGCAACATGCAGGCCACACTATTTTGAGTTGCTTTGACTTTTCTGCCAAATGCTTTTGCAAGTCTGTGGCATTTAGTCAGCAAAGAACAGGAGATAGCACCAGTGAGTGTTAAAGAGACACTCGGCGGGGGGAAAGGGAGGGCAGCATTCAGGAGTCCAGTAGCATTCACCCTTGAACGGGACGGTGATTTCTCTGCCAGCAGATGTGTGAGAAACACAAAGCTGCAGTGCACATTCCTGACCCCATTCTTCTAATCCCACAATCTTTACAGTTTGACTCTATGCAAATCTGTAAAATAATTCTCCTTTTTTTTCTGCATAGTTTGTAACATTATTTATCAGTCCTCGCGCAGAAGTTCACCTTAAAATAGAACCACTTACTCCCTCGTCTCCCTTAGATCTGTCACACCAAAGCACTATTCACCCTGATTAAGGTAGCTTTTCCTGCTGCTAGCACAGCACATTTGTGTCTTCGCGAGGAATGCCTGAGTCAAGATCCCACCGCGATGGAAACAGTCTCTAATTGGCCACAGCGAATAGATACAGCAAACTACAGCTGCTCACTGTGAGGTTGACAGGTCTGCTCTTTAAAGACTGCGCCGCTTGCACGCGTTGCCTCCRATTGAACTGGTTTCCTCTGTTTTCAGGGGAAGCTTCATGTTCTACAAAACAGAGCAGCTATATTTGACATTACGTGTCACTATTTTAACATATGTGGAAACGGCTTATTTGATGGCGTTCTGAGAAATCTGATTTCCATRTGAAGGCATAAAGGGCTCTTTAAAACTAATTTCTTTGTCCTGACATTAAACCTGCAAATTTGGCTTCCCTCAAATAKGTTAACACCTGCTTATGTCATCATTTTTATAACAAAATCCCTTTTATTGTCTTTTCAAACTGACATTTCAACTCATGTTTAATGAACAATTCTCTCCCATCTAGCAAAAAAAAGGTAACAAAAACATGATGAGAAAATAAGACCCTGCATGATGCMGTCTTTCCCGGGTGTTTTGCGCAAAGTGTGGAAGTTAAGCAAGCTGGAGATTCTTTGAAATAAAAGTGGCATTTAAAGGGTGTCAGCTATAAGGTCATGAGGGCTTTCTTCTCGCTCGGTTCCCAGGAGTCCAGGCCAAGAAGAACGGGAGCAAAATAAGCAGGGATAATAGCAGGAGACACACACACTTACACATCACACACACACTTACCGTGGGGGATTGCATCATTTTTTTGATGACCTCATCCGTTCAGACTTACAGATTATCACCCACTGGGGTGCCACTTGACCTGTGGGGGAGAAACAGCCRTCCAAGTAATGGATTTTCCAGATAACATGAATAAGTAACATGTTGTTTTAGTGTCACGTAATGGACCTTAAAACTGTATAATTACACAGGAYGACTTTACAATGTTGAATTGACTGAGCACTCTGTTAGTTTTTATTAAAGGTCAGAGTTATAACATGTAGTTGAACTCTCCAATGAGGCCTCAGTTTAACACTGAGGACACAAGGACAGCAGGAGGGTCASGTTGTGTAAGTCCTGTCTCGTTTGTTTTGTTTGTCTGTATCAGGGATGGACAACTTAAATGATGGAAAGGGCCACGATTTTTTGTAGATACTACTTGAGGGCCACATAGAACTGCACACTCAACCATTAAGCTGCCATTAAAAATATATATATAGTATATGATGGTAATGACCAGCCAACCTGACATTGTGATTCATGTTCATAAGGCACTCGGGGCAGCGTGTGTGTGCATTTATCAAATCAACACAAAATGCATTAACCTAAAATATTTCATGTTCAAATGCATGCATAACAGTTGTTTATAAAACATTGCTTTAATAAATATAAATACAAATCATTTGAAGCAAACAAAAGAACAAATTCTTACTTTAGCRAGATGAAGTACAACAACATAGGATGCTTTGAGTGCAAAGCCCTGCTATGGTGCTGGTAAAAAGTTGTTGTTTATGTACTTCAGTAAATTTCTCATATTTATCTTTGTGCGACATGTTGTAAGGGTGACTTATATTAAAATCCTTCATGGCAGACAGTGTCTCTAAACAGACTAAATACATTGGCTTGCCTTGAAATTCTATTAACAAATGGTC